AATATATGATATTATTTCATTCAATATATGGTTGTGATTCAAAATATAGATATAGTGTGTATTACATATTCAAATGCGCCGTGCAAAAATAATATTGATTATTCTTTAAATATGTCAAAAAAAATTTTATCACAGTTTTATTAGTTATTAATCACACTTAAAAGGTGTGATCTAAAGTTTTTAATCACACTTAAAAGGTGTGATCTAAATGTTTTTAATCACACTTAAAAGGTGTGATCAAATATTTTTAATCACACTTAAAAGGTGTGATCTAAAGTTTTTAAATCACACTTAAAGGTGTGATCTAAATGTTTTTAACCACACTTAAAAGGTGTGATCTAAATATTTTAATCACACTTAAAGGTGTGATCTAAATATTTTTAACACACTTAAAAGGTGTGATCTAAATGTTTTTAATCACATTAAAAGATGTGATAAAAGCATTTTTAATGACACTTAAAAAGTGTGATTAAAATGACCATTTTTAATCACACTCCCTAAAGACCACACTTTAATAAAACTTAAAAGGTGTGATTAAAAAACATACATCACACCAAAAAAGTGTGATCTTTATCTATATTTGTAGTAGTGTGTATAAATACCCCAGTATGATGTTTGTTGAAGTCATAACAATAGTAATAGATATACAATTACTATTATTATTATTTTTTTTAATTTTATTAACAATGTCTTCAAGAGGTGCAGGAAGTTCACGCCGGCAAAGAAATCCGAAAGTGTGGCTGCTACCTCCATTTATGTATGACTACAAGAGCGAAAAGTACTCAAGTCCGAAGGATTATTATTGCTGGTATCCGAGCAGAATGGGCGTTCAGGGTAACGAGCAAGAAGGATTGTTATATGATCTACGTAACTTGGGCACGGCTACCTCATCGTCGTTCATTGACCATGGCTAGACGAAATGTGAGTGACATGAAAAGCAGTTAGCAGAATTAGAGAGGAGAACAACAGGATGTTGATGCGTGAGATTGTCGCAAGATGTCGACATTTCATGCTTCAACTAGCCACTGAAATGGCAAAAGCATGCAACAGGGATTTGACAATGGTTGAGCGAAATAATGTCTTCAACAATGAAAAATATCTCTCTGACTACTACATGTCAGATGACGAATAAGAAATCAAACACCGTTATCTATCATATGTTCGTTCGTGGAGTGTAAGACAATGTTGTTGTTGGTGTAACGTACGGATGTATTTCAAGTATTTTTGTTATGAACCTGAAGTTTATAAAATAACTACATTTATAAGTACACATTTATGAGTTCATGACTTTCTTTATTGAATTGCAATTTGTTAATGAATGTTCTGGATTAATGAATGGATTAATGTATGTTCAATTATGTGAATACTTAAAACACATTAAATAGATCAGGCAACTCGGAGAAAAGGTTCCCTTAACTGGGGCTGCTGAAATAGGGATGAAATTACAACGAATTTCAATCTCCATCAGGAAAGAAGAAAGAGTCGCCTTCCAATTCTTGAAAGTTCAGTAAAAATTATGACTCCGGTAATGAATGAGGGGTTGACAAAAAACTAAACTCGGTGAATCGAACTACCGCCTTCAACAACACATAAAACATAACAGGTAGGTCGGTGAATAGCTTCCCAAATGACAAGAACAATTCAAATAGTCATACTTTTCAATGAAATATAAATAGCGGGTCGTAAGCTTCATAAGCTTCATTTTTTCACACATTGAGTAGTCAAATCGTGGAGAGACTTGTCAATATATGTAGATAGATTGTGAAGTCATGTGACCTAGTGCACAGTCTTCGGTTTTATTGATTTGTTTATTACAGTGACAGATTGTGAAGTCATTGATTTGTTTATGTTTATGTTTATGTTTAAGTTTATGTTTATGTATTGTGTCTGTCAAATGTTACGGCTATTAATATGCAATATTAGGTCATGAATTAGGTGTTTGTCTATCTAACTGTTATGTTTATGTATTGTGTGTTCAGTTAAGAGTGTCCAGGATGTATGTAATGTGTGTTCAGTTCATGGTGTCCATAATGTATTTTTGTGGGAGAATTATGTCTGTACTACCTACGTAACTGAAAACTATTACATTTGCAACTTCAGTTATGTTGTTTTCATACCCGTAAGAGTATTTTGTAAAGTACTGACTTCGTATATTATGTATTAAGTATTATTACAAAAATGTTGAGAAAATTTATTTTAGGAGCTCTCGCTGTGGCCTTTGTCTTCTTGGCCTACTCCGCGGTGGTCTTCGCGTCTCACCCTTCGTCGTTGCTCGTCGAGTTGCACAATGTGTGGGTGTGCTTCGAACTGTACAGCATGCATATCACATTCTAACCCATAACAAAATAAATTTAAATGAAAACGGGTACAAAACGGTTTTACTAAACTGATTTTCTGAATTACATTCTCACCTTCTAACCCAAAACAAAAGAATAAATATATATGTATGTTTAAATGAAAACGGCTTTCGTAAAGCCAAAATAATTTTCTAAATAACACCTTCCAACCCAAAACAAAGACAAAAGAAAAAAAAAATTACATGAAAACGACTTTAGTAAAGCAAAAAAAAAATAATTAATTACACAAAACAATAAGAAAAAAAAATATTTACATGAAAACAACTTTAGTGAAGACAAAAAAAAATTTTTAATTACATTTTCTAAATCAAAACAAAGACAAAAGAAAAAATGAAAAATGTAACATGACAACGGCTTCAGTAAAGCCAAATAAATGAACATGATTGGCTTAATAATATCTACATGAATATGATTTTGAAATTATATATATGAAAAATAGTATGTAAAATTAATATATGAAAAGAGGTTTTTTTTCATATTATGTAAAATTTATAAATTACACATTCTAAACAAAAACAAAAGAAAAAAAAAACATATTTTAACATGATAATTGCTTTATGTTTTTTTCTTTTGTTTTATCTTGAAAATAGCGTTTTATTCCAACAAAGTTTATGTTAAAAACGCTGGGCGAAAAAAAAAAATTTCTGCTAAAATCGCTATTAGCAATAGCGTTTTTTTGGCAACAAAATTTGAACTGAAATCGCTATTATGAATAGCGTTTTTTCTGCAAAAAAGTTTTTGTTAAAATCGCTATTAGAAATAGCGTTTTTTTGGAACAAAATTTGAACTGAAATCGCTATTAGTATTTGTATGCTTGTGCTTCATCAATAAAGTTTTTTTCTTTTGCTGATAAAAAATAAAATAAAATAAAATCTTTGTTGCGCTGACTTCACTGGCTGCAACAACATTTTGGGGTTTTCATTTTTGGTCGCTCCTAACAGTAAAAGCGCGAATAGTAATGGCGCTTTAACTTAGTTTTGGAATTCCGTCAGAAGTTGGCCTAGTTTTGAAAATACAATAGAAAAAGGACTTATATTGGGAAAAGCCTCTAAGAATTCTGTGAGGCAACATTTGAATGTAGATTATTTGTTTTTGTTTTATTGACGAAAATAAAAACTTCATTCATTTATTCATAATAAAAGAACATACATACATGACAGTTGTAAGAATATTAAAATTTAGACAGACATAAGAGGCTAGACACTGGCAAAAGCTACAAAATTGATAGAATGTTATTAATCCCTCCATATAATCTTTGGTCAATCTAAACATAAGATCCAAATGAATTCCCAAGACTAACAATTTTAAAAATGCTAATCCCCCAACTAACCTAATCTGCCCAAACATGGCCAAAGATATATGGAACCCTGAAACCAACATATCCAGGCAGACAAGAAACCGAATAATGTAAAAGAAACCAGGACTGCACAAAAATGGCAGAACCACCAGAAGCTGAAGCTATCCAAGCATCGAAGAGGGGGTAGAAAAACTTCACTTTGGGTGGAAACCCAAGCAAAGTAACCAAAGAGAATATCACCGCAATGGAGGGTCGGAAGCTAATAACAAAAAGTGAAAAAAACAGGAACTGCCAACCAGAAATGGATGGATGTGGCATCTGAGTTCACAAATACATAAAAAAGTAAGGGCAAAATGAGAACTAAAATAAAACAAACAAATGATATCAATAAAATTAACCTATTTTGTTAACAGTCAACTAACAGAAGGGTGAATGAAATTCAAAAGTAAACTTGACGGGGAGGTTAGTGTCATTTTTGAAACTTGAGGTGAGGTTTACCCTATTATAATAAATTACTATTTGCCTAAGCTGATGGAACCTTGGAAGATATGATAAAGTAGTTCACATATGCATGCTCTATATATATAAAAAGGAGATGAAATCTAGCGTTGAGTAGATTCATACAGCTGAGTGCATAACATACCATACCAACCAATCGAGCAGAAATCCCAATAGGTTAAGATTCATAAGATGAGGGGTTCATCTCCCAATCAGATTAATTATATGATTCAATGTCTTCTTACAGTATAGTCAAGCAAACCAACATCCTAAACTTCAGCCATTTCAAAAAAAATATCAATATTTTAAGAAGAAAAAACTTCTCCTCTCTCTTTGGTAACACAATGTTTGTGGCTAATAAAGAAAAAACATAGTCGTGCTTCTGTAGCACCAAATGTTATTTCCTCAGCTGTTTCATTCAAGTGATATATTAAAAAACATCAAAATGTTGGGACTGAACCATCACCGCCATGCTTTCACCAGTCTACACTGAAATATTAAACTATTTTTTTTATCAGCTCAATTTCATTGCCGCAAAGGATGTTGCCACTTCCATTGCATCCTCTACATGTGTTATATCGGAGCCCTGAAATCACATACAAAAGAATTACATGTGTACCACCAAGGTTGCAAAGATCGCAGGCAAACTCAAATATACAGTGGAAGAAGTAACTATCATATGCGAAACCAAATCATAGCATCCATTCTTAATGTTGTGCAAGAGAGAGAGAGAGAGAGATCATTTACCAATCGGGCATGAAAAAACAGATCATAATAAACGTAAGTCCTTTTTAATCTTCAATATTTTTTCCCTCTAATAATATTATATAGTTCAACTGATTAACACAATGCTTCATGTTGTTGATGACATAGTTGGGCTTGCCTTAAAATTAAATACAAAACATTTTTAGAAAGAAAATTTACAATATTCATTTATTGTGGGGTTTCCCAAATGTTGCAAGCATATTGCTCCGAAAATGGAATCCTCAGAGACAATGTAGTGCTCAAATTTAAGATTTTAAAGCATGATAAATTTAGTTATATACTAATATAACATAAGAGTTGGATTGATAACCAGGAGAAAATTGCTAACCTGGCCTTGAGCAAGACCACCTTTTCCTCCTCCACCCTTCCCTTTTAGTGGCTTCAAAGCTGCCAGCAACCACTCCAACACCTTTAATTGCTTACATTTATCTCCTTTCTCAGGTACCCCAGCACACACCAAAGCTTTGTTTGCAGTTTCGTCTGTGCTGAAAACCATGACCGCTATCCCCTGTCATTCAAGGACTAGTCATGCAAACTTCATACAGACATAAGAGCATTATGACAAAATAAAATAAATAAATAAAAGCACTGGGATATATTAGCTGGAAGGCTAGAAACTGCAAACAACCTTCTCGTCCATGACTTTGACAACTGCTTCGCGCATTGCTGTAGTGTCCAAACCAACATTGACACGTGATATACAGAAAGCCTTTCCATCAGATGCAGCAACTTCTGCAGTCTCAATTGCAACCTTGACAGCTTTCTGTATATTCTCTTCAGCAATCTTTTTTTTTGCTTTAATCACTTGATTCTAGTAAAACATAGCAATTTAGAATCAACTTCGACCTAGAGATATATAAGCAGCAGGTTTGGTTATCAATAGAACTGAAATAGGGTAATTTCTTGTTCAGCATAGATGAAAACCTGAAGCACAGATACTTTGGCCTTTAGATCAGCTTTCTTGGCTGCTGGAATAGTTGCTGATTCCACACGGCCATTTAAAGAAGTTACTTTCTGGGAAGAGGAAAGGAAAATCAGCAAACTGATATATCAGATAAAGCAGAATCATCTTCTTAATCAAAGCAGTGGTGAACAATATAATGACGATACTTTCTTGAAGGAAGAAAAGAACCCCCCAAAAAAAACATAACAGAAGACTCGGGTGATGCATATTTCAGGGAAGTTGGAAGTATCTGAACCATTCACAAAATACCTGTGCTTGCTAGCCAATACAATTCTCAAAATGCTTGTGCTAGCCAATACATTGGAAGTATCTAACCAATGTGCTAGCAGCAAAAAGATTATAAAGATTTTGGTATTTATGAAAATTACATAATCCTGGCATGAAGTGAATTCCCTTCATTTCAGGAGACATTCCCAAAAGTTAATCTAGTAAAGACCTCATTCAGCTACATTACATGAAATAATAAAAGAACAAACCACAATAACATCGCATAATAGCATATGTTTCATTCGTGAGCAATAATATCCTCTGGTTCAAATATAAAGTTGCCGATAATGAGCACGGGATAATTATAGACAAGAAAATGCACTAAAAAATTCATTTTTATGTCGGATGACCTCATTCTTTCACAGAATGTGCCAGAAATTCTGTCAATTCAATCTTTAGGCTCTTTTGAAAAAATGGCACGAGATCATAAACAGAGTACACAAAAACACACATATGAGGCTGATAGATCTGCAAATTTTGTCTAATTGACAGAAGGATAAAGTACGTTGACCTCCCTTAAGTTTGGAGAAAATGCAAGCCCCATAGTTTTGGCATAATTACATCAACCTCCTTTTTATTAAGTTTGAATGGAATGTAACTAATGCAAATGGTGTGAAAACAAAAGAACAAATAAGAAAAAATAGACTGTTCAGTATAAAACAGATGACATCATCATTTTTCCATTTAATATAACTAACAAATTATTGATAAAAGAGGGCCTAAGTGTTATGTGAATTAAAATCTTGCGGGAACCCTACCAAAACTGTGGAGCTTCTTGTATTTTCTCCAAACCCCGGGGGAGGCAAGTGTAATTTACCCTCAACAGAATTACTTTAAACTGAAAAATCAGTTTACAGTAATTCTCTTTCAAACTTTTCACTAGTAATAAGAAATTTTTCACTGAACAAACCCCTCCAATGCAGGAGCTCCTAATAAGAAAGTGCCCAGTTGCCCAGCAATGAGAGATGGGCCAGAGACAAAGGAGCACCCAGGTGCAGATTCTGTCATGAACCTAACTAACTGTGGCCGTTAAATGCAACAGGGCAACCATTTTGGACAAGTAGTGCAACCATTTTAGGACAATCGTTTTTTATAAGTAGTGCCAATAATCACAATAGAAGCTAAACAGAACATGACGTTGCATGCAGAATAGCAGCAAAACTGGAGCCATACATGTTGTTCTTACATAGCAAATTTTTCAAACCAATGATGGGAAATGTATTTAAGGCATGCAAGCAGGATATGGCTCAGGATCATAACACCAATTGCATAGAAACATCCTTACAAGTAGTCAACAGAAGAATGCTAATATGGTTGAGTAGAAAGGTAGGGCCCATAGGGGGCATGTTGATTCAATGACTACATCAAGGAATGTATAAAGACTGGTCCCTAAGAAGTAGAAAGAATGAAATAAACAGAAAAACTGTTTTAGACCTGGCAAAAAAGAGATTAATGCAAGTTAAAAAGGGTAGAAAAGCTGGTAGAGGAAGGCAGGGTCACACATGAATAATGAATTAAGCAACACCCTTGCTTCAGGAAGAAGAAAATGTAACTCAACTATCACACAAAAAGCCAGGGTCAAACATGAATAATGAATTTAAAAAAGCAGTTCAGTTTATCATATATTAATTCACAGAAAGTGACATTGTATCTGAATCTGAATCTGGTAAAAATAATAAAAAGAAGTGACAACCTGTTCCAGTGAGCTTCCTTCTGTTTTTGATGCCTCATTTACTTCCTGCTCAAGTGACAATGCTAGTTCCAAGGCCTTAGAAGCACAGTCTGTTGTAACAGCAGTTACTCTACGAATTCCCTTAGCAATTCCCTCCTCAGACAACAGAGCAAACATCTTAGCCTCTCGTGTGTTTGATAAATGGGTCCCTAAAAAAATCAACACACTAAACCTCAATATTTAATAAGACTCCAAGAAGTGGCACCAGGAATTACAAGGAGATGCTACCTCCACACAACTCTGCGGAAATTGATAACCACTCGTCATTTTCTGGATCAGCAAGGAGGTCCTCCACTTTTCGACCAATTGACACAACCCTAACGGGATCAGGATAGACCTATGTCAAAAACAGACATAAAAAATTGAAGGCGGCCAGTAAACCAAGTACATTCCACAGATTGATCATATGCCTGAACAAACTCCAATGATAGAAGAATGAAATAGTTTACTTCTCCAAATACAGCTCGTAAACCATTTATAAGCTTTGCATCGGTCAGAGTGACCTCCTTTGAAAATACATCCAGCTCAGCTTCGATTTGCTCATTCACAATGGACTCAATTTTTCTCAACTCGTCAGGTTTCACAGGCTTGCCTGTTCAAATTTCAGTAGCATTCAAAAATGATTTTATATGCAAAATTAATTGAAACAAGCATAAAGCTTACCATGAGAGAAATCAAATCGTAATTTCTCAGGAAGAACAATGGATCCCTTCTGGTCAACATGATTTCCCAGTACTTCCTGCAGTCATGTTACAGAACATTAAGAGAACAAAAGCAAACCAGATAAGAAAGCATCAACATTAGAAGCTCAGAACAGTATCATTTTGGAAATTACCCTGAGCGCAAAATTCAACATGTGCGTACAGGTATGGTTAGGAGCAATGAGCTTACGTCTATCATAGTCAACCTGCTCAAGTCAATTACTTCTTATAGTTACGAAGAAATACAAAGCAGGTGTAGCTTGCACTCATGTACACATACAAGGACAGATGATAAAAGGGAAGTTACCTTACAAATCACTTTATCACCTACAGAGAACTGGCTTGTTTCCCCAGTAAACGAACCGATATGAACAACAAAGCCTCCATAAATTTGTACATTACAAACTTGAAATGATCCAAAGGGGCCTTCAAGTGATCCAGTATCAAATATCTATAACCTCAAAGAAGAATGTAAGATGTCAAATTCTATTCTTAACAGGAAAAATATGTAAATCATATATGACAACAGTCCATCGAATATGCAAACTAAAAAAAAAAAAAAAGAGTAGAACCAGAAAAAAAGGAAAGCTGCACGCAAGCTTAAATACTATGTAAACCAAAATACATTGTATGTTCAAGAATTGTGGATTTCTTCCATACTACCATGTATCTATGAGATCTCCAATATTCAAAACTAAGAGAAACAAATTAATACAAATGTGTGGTCTCATGAGATCAACTATGCATTAAAAATTTATACAATTGAAGAACATAGTGTGACCTATTACATGCAAAGTCACGTTTAACATTGCATCTGTGTTACTTGTGTTTAGCTGGTTATAGCTCTGGCTTAAAGAGCTAGAGGTGGAAGAGGGTTATTGGTAGAGTTTTTTTTGGACTGATTTTTAGTGATGGCGCTGCTAAGTTGGATCCATTTTGTTGGAAGGAATGATACTAATTAAGATTCAAAAATAAAAATCATAGAGATGAGATGAAAGTTAGTAAACAAAGTAATGCCTTGGAAATGTGTGATACAGTGCTTGCATTCTCTTGCAAGTAATGATAGCATTGGAAGCTTTAAAGAGCTTATTGAAGCTGTGTAACTGGTACTCCTTTGTGCCTTCGTCGGAAGTTGTTTTGAGTTGAGCACACTGCTGGTTGTGATGCTCATTTGAATGTTGTATCCGAGGGACGACTAGAAGAAGTGCAATGCAGAATTCCAGCCCCTGATTAGCGTCTTCTTATCTAGTGGATGTATAGCTGATCCTATCATTTTGTCACATTCCTCAGCTTGCTTTGGAAGATAAACTTTTGCCAGGCCATTGGTCTCATCCAAACAGGATAAGTGTTATTCTGCACAAGTATGCAGCTCAGTGGTGAAAGGGGCTTGGAAAATGGACGTCTGTCCAAGCTTTAGCAAGCAAGTCCGCATGATGGGGGTTGTCAACTTTACGCCTATGGTTGTTCAACCAAAGATACAGTTCAATGTATTCAAGGAAGGATGAGTCGTGAGACTCATGTTTGTTTCGAGCAAAGAAACGCAACACCTCCTAAGGCAGCATGAGTGGTGTTAAATTGAGTCAACTAACAGCTGCTTAAACTTGAGGCCAAGTTTCTTCAAAGAGGGGGAGTGTTGATCTAGTAAAATACGCATATTTAAAAAACAAAATGAGTCTTATGCTTAGGTGTCCCATTAGTTGGTTAGTAGTTCTAAATCGAAGAATATAGAATTTGGTGAAATAATCTCTCTATCAAAAAAAAATATTAACAATTTAATAGAACAATATAAAATCGTAGATAAGATTTGTGCTAAAACACAGTTATTGATTCTCCTAATATTTAAGTATTAACGAGAAATTTAAGGGATATTCCTCAAACTTCTACATCAATTTTCTCTATAAAAATTTTAAGAGAGATTTGTACGAAATCATGACACGAGCTATATACCTAAGACACAGATATGATATGATATGGACATGCCAACACAAGTTTTTAATAAATCATTATACAATATGGCAACAAATTAATATACATTTCAATAGATATACATGAAAATAAAAAGTAATTCACTTTTTACAATAAAAAATACATTTGTATTTTATTATGCCAAAATAGTAAGAAACCTTCTTCACATTGTATATATCAGAAAAAAGTGTGAACAAAGAGTTCTAATATGTATCTAAAAATAAATAAATTGCCTAGCAAACAAATCGATAGTTAAGTTATAGAATTCCTACAAATAAAAATGCTTAAGGAGGTATCAACAGGTATAAATCCCCACTACTTTAATTTTTAAAATTATCTCTCATGTTATTTTCCTCAAACTTGCAGTGTGTTTTGAGTATCTAAGTGTGTGTCCCCTAAGTGTCCGAAGCGTGTCTGATTCTAAAGATATTTAAAAAATAGCAGAACATGTTTGAACATGCATCTAAGGTGGACTCGACACATTCTTAGAAGTGTCCACACATCGTAGCACAAGAGAATACCATTTCATAGAAAATTATTCTACGAGTGCCAAAACTAATTTTCACAAACTGGAATAAATAAATAAAGTAAACTTTTAGTCCTCAACTTCAACAATAACAATCAAGTTGTCATGAAGACAAAGAAGAGCAACAAAGAGTGGTAAAGTTAGTTCTTACTCCACAAAACTTATTCAATGAACTACCTTAAAATTTAGGTGCCTTGTTACCTCAATATTAAACTCTCGTAGTCCACTGTCACCATAAATGTCCCCAATGCACCATAACAATACAACTCACAATAACCAATGCATTTTCCATCATTTAGGTTCCAAACAGCTCCCTCAAAGCTCAAGCATTGATGAGAAAAGCTTATTTGTGTAGACAAACAAATTATTTTGCATTGTATCATACCTGTCCACCTTGCTCAGCATAGAAACTTGTAGTTTCCAGAATAACACCAACTTCATCAAGACCAACCACACTTTCCAAGAACTCCTTTCCTGTGTAAATAGCTTTTATCACACTTTCATGATCCTGAATTTATTGATTAAAGGTAAAAACATTAATAGGACTATAGAGATAAGCAATCCAACCAAAAAATGAGAGTTATCAGCAATGCCAGTAAAAGTTCCCTTCAATTCATCAGAAATCAATGCAATGAATGTACCACTTTCATGATGTCAAAGATCCATTGTTTGAAAGAGTAATGCTAAAGACCCACATTTCAGACCCCCAAATACACCCACAATAATGTGGCAAGGAAGTAGAGCCCCAAATGATTTGAGTGTGACAAATCAAAAGTTAACACCCATCATCCCACATCATTGTGGGTCAAATTATGGGAGTTTTATTAGGAGTCTCCAAAATTTTCCTTTCAAAGTTATCCAAAAGTGAAAGAAAAATGTGAACGTGAAGAGGAGATCATGTAGGTAGCTTATTTCATAGTAATTAAGTCTAACAGCATAGGTTCCTGCAATTTCCCAGAGATTAAGATTAATATTTGCCCCAGGATGAAGCTTTTCCCATCTCCCAATATGTCATGATGTATATGTACAAATGCATCAGAAAACCCTTCAAACAGCTTGAAATTATGCATGTATTTTCTTTCTCGACTACAATTGTATTCAAGCAATTCTTAAGTAGGACCACTTGAGTAAAATACAGCTTTAGATACCAGAGAGTTTCTATGTTATTAGTTAATCAAAGTTGTTCTTGTATTAAACAAGAACTAGGAAACAAGTACATCCACATTCACATACACACTCAAAGGTAACGACTACCCCCGCAACAATTATTCTCTTTTACAACTTCAAGAAATATGAGCACATTCCTTTAAAACTGAAAGCTTTTGAGAGAATTAATATTTCCTAAAAACATAATGCTTCAAAGATGAAAGAGTAAACCCATTCACGCTAATGATAAACATGTCAAGTGATAACTTTAAAAACTGAAATGTACACTAACCTGAAACCAAGTATACTTGAAGCTGTCATTTGTAGCAACAACCCCTCTTTTGTGTAATGCTGAGGTAGCATCAGCTTCCAAGAGAATAGTACCACCAGCTTGCTGCCAAGAGAATGTTTCAGCACATACAACAGAATTGGCATACAGTATTTTCCCCCCCAATTTTTCATGACGACATTGTGTATTTTTTTTAAAGTCAATTTAAATGTAAATGTATAAAAATAAAAAAGAAGCAAGGAAATGTAATAAATATACAACATAATTTTTTTCAATATAGCAGATTATGCACTTTGTCAATATATTTTCTTCTTGCAGATTCTTATACCTTTTTTTCGTATAACTAGCCACAAAATAAAACAATGGGTATAACCAACAGTTTCTGTTTACAATGGAAGGAATAATAACAAAGAAACAACTGCTACCTTATTTTGAGCATTCCTTGATTTTTCCCTAGCTTCATTCATAGCAATGTTAAAACCCTCAATATCAACTGCCAAGCCTCTTTCTTCCGCCATCAACTGGTAGAGAAAAGACCATTAGGAGCCAATTCATATGGGACAATATGAAATATGAAAGACTAAACCTAATAGCACTCCATGCACCTGAGTCAAATCTAATGGAAAGCCGTATGTGTCCCACAACACAAAAGCATCCTGCAACCAAAAGAGACCAACAATGCATTACAAATACTAGATTTCATTGTTAAACATGCTTGAACGACAAGCGTGTGAAATTGCAAAAAAAATGTCAATGCGCTTTGGAAAGGAAAAAAATAAATAAATAAAAAAGAAGATACAATGCAAGGCTTTGTCCCTCAATGCTACGTTACTGCTGGATCCCATTTTAGACTGTCTGTTCAAGTGATGGGTTGGTCTGTTTGGATTCTTTGTTGTCACGTTGGTTTGATTGATTCTCTAGATTGGTTGTATATTTTAGTAGAGATATGCCGTCCCACCAATTTGTGACTGCTTAAGCTTTATTGCTGCTTTGTCCTTCTTTTCTTTTCTTTTTTTATCAGCAACAAAGATGAATTATATTGATAAAAAAAAGAGATATAAATAGAGGACAGTTAGTCCTCTACAAGGATATCAAACAAATCTGAAGAGAAAGTAAAATCCAAGAAAACCAATTACACATCACAAACCGCCCTCCAATCTGAAGAAATTAAACAGAAAGGCACCCCTCTGTCCTTTGTGGCTAGTGTGTTTCTCCTCTTTAGAGAAGGGTTCCATATGTACCCTCTTTAGGGTTGTGTTTTGCCTATTCTCTTAATCTGTAAGAGAATTATTTTTACTTGGGCTAGGTTTCTGTGTCCTCTTTTTGAGTGCCGTACCCTTTTAGGTGGTGTGTTGAGCTTCATTTGGGTAATAAAAAAAAATCCTTCCCACAAACAAACAAAAAAAAAACAACCAAAAAAAATTTGAAAATAAAAAGCATGGATCAAAAAACACACATTCTTCACAAGGTAGATGCATACAAAGAACAGAGCACTTTTTAGTAACCCTACGACAGTGAGGGCTACACCAAAAAAGGTTGTCACTTAAATTCTTCAAGTGCAACATGATAGATAACCGCCTAGAACTTAAGGAATCTGAAACACCACCTATCCATTCCAAACTCTTTCATATATTGCAATATTTTTTTTGAACTCCCTGAAGTGATTTACAAAGCTTTAAAATATCTTGAAATAGAAGAAAAGCATTATTCTCTATGCCTAAATAGTTCAATTATTTAAAAAAAACTACCAAAAAAAAACAAAACTTCTCTTCTTTTTTTATTACAAAAAAAGAAGCAAGACTATCTCATTTGGCTTTCTTAAGTAGATTATATATAAGCACGGACACTTCTAAAAATCCGTGTCGTGTCCCTGTCCTACACGTATCAAACACCAACACTCGACGCACACTTATTGACAAGTGTCAAACACTCGTCCAAAAATGTCTTATTATTATTATTATTATTATTATTATTATTATTATTATTATTATTATTATTATTATTTTTAGACCCTAAGATCTCAAACACGTTTTGGACACTTGGGGACACATGTCCATTGCTTAGACACACGTGAAACTAATGATAGGTTTGAACAAAATAACTTAATATACAATTGATTAAAAAAACAAGATTAATTTATAGGAATTAGTGTACAGTTGCAGTTTTTTTATTATCTTTGAACTATATATTTATATATTCTACATTTTTCATCGAAGTCCTTAGGCTCAAACTCAGAGAGAAAAAAAGCACCTTACAACTCCTAAAGTTAACATAGTCAACTATCCTATACGGGTAGCCTAACCACAACACTAGAGGTATTTTATATGTATTTAATATAATATTAAATATTTAAAGCTATATATTTGTGTGGCCCCCCATGTGTCGAGTCATGCGTTTTTTTTTAAATTACCGTGTTGGCGTGTCCGTGTCGTATCATGTGTCCTTGCTTGTGCTTCTTATTATACAAGTATTAGATTAAGGGGAAAAGATAGTAAGCCATCTGCAATAGCAACATAAATTTGGTGTTCTTCCAAGAAGGAAACTAATTCAGCGACTTCACTTTTTTCTTCTTCTTGGCACTGACAAATGCACATATGCATAAATAAATGAGAACTATAGCAAATTCATTTATGGGTGAAGTTCCTACCTCAACCTGTATGGCACAAAAAATATTGCGCACTAAGATGGGATAACAAAGGGGCAGGCAGAATGCTACTTATAACCCAAATCAGTTACAGGCAAGAGAAAAGCGGTCAAAACAACAAATCATTGACTGGTAACTCTGTGTGTGTGTGTGTATGAGAGAGAGAGAGAAAGAGAGAGAGAGCATTTACCAAAAGAAAAGATAGTAAAACAAAATCTTCTTGAGATTTAAATGAGGCATGATAAATTGCTTTAACTTAACATGCTTAACTGTCAAACCAGTTTTGCAATTATAGGTGTGTAAAAAACATTTCCCTGTGAGACCAGTTCCAATATGATTACTAGATAACATAAAATATGCCAAAATGAGTGCCGCAGAAGATAAATGTATTGCAAGAAAGAAATCAATGTAGCCATATACTTGCCTGTCCACTTAATATCTTCCCTTGAACATCTTGAGCAGCCCGCTTAAATCTCTCTATTCCCTGAAGACAAACAGATAATCCAGTTCGTTATCAAAAAATTCTACATAGATGCAATTATTAAAACTTTAGTAAAGAACAAAGAATCTCCCAAGTGGCTGAAAAATGCACAAGGAAGCAACCAAGGGAGAAAGAATATAAGGCCTTTCACAAACACATTTGCAGAGAGAAATTTCTAAAATCTTCATAAATAATAAGGATAACAGAATTCAAACAAAAGCACTTAACAATGCTAAGTAAAAGCAGCTGGTGCATCCAATCGCATGTCTGAATATTTAGCCAGGTATATATAGGACAAGGCTTTGATTAGCACAAAATAAGCCGACTTTTACATAAGACGCCTTTCTAGGTAAGAAATCATTGCCACATAAGAAAACAGGCAAGGATTGTATGGACAAAGAGATCCAGTGCAAGAAAGCCTCAAATGAGAAAGTGGTTGACGCTCCCTCCATTACAATACTTGACAAGGGCACTTAGGCCTCGTTTGGGGACTGACTATTTTAGCCAAAAAGCCAACCAAAACTAGTCACATCACCTCTCTACTTTTCTGCACATCTTTTCGTAAAAAGCCAAAAAGTTACTAAAATAGCCTGTTCCCAAACGAGGCCTTAGCATACAATGGCATGATCATTATGATATGGTTGGCAAGCCAATCATGTAACAACATATCTCTCTTGAATTGAATGGGATAACAGATCATGGTTTTCTTAAGAAGCAGAAGTACCCGTGTACGATTGTTGATTGTAGACAGTTCTACCTTGTGATCAGGTTGTTTTCCATTTCTAAAAATGTTTCTATTTCTTCTTAAACAGGCCGGTTTAGCCAAAAAGTTATTAAAAAAGCCAAAAAGCCAACAACCCAAACCAAAAAGTCAAAGATTCTCTTTTCTCTCTACTTTTTGCACATCTTTTCGTAAAAAGTCAAAAAATCATCCCAAACATACTAGTTTTTTTTAGCTCATGTTTTAGCCAAATAGCCAAAAGTTACTAAACTAGTCTGTTCCCAAACAAGGCTGCATATGCTTTTAGCTCTAGAAAGTTTTCACTAACTCTCAGCAAAATATAAAAACAACCATATTTTTACATTTTATTGCAGTACTAGTTCCAATTTTTTGCCTATGTCATGCAATAACTAAATTTAGTACCTACAAACTCTTTCAACAATGTTCCACAAACTCGAACGTCCAAGCCAAACATCAAACAAAGGATTAAATGGAAGCAAATTCAACTTATCCACAAGGTAGAGCTAAAAGCCTAAAACGTTGTAGACATAGCTCAGCTTACATTAAGCAATGTCTTGCCAAAAGTTGTTTCCTCTGCTGCAATTGTGTCCCTGATATGCACTTCATGGTGTCTTAGCTCTGGAAATATGTCACCCATCATTTGCACCACCACCTTTACAAGCCTGATTTCCACACAATTATTAAGCAACCTCTAGAAGAGATGATATATATCAATTAGGAATGACATACGTAATCTTAAAAATACAGCAATTAGGGAATGTAAAGTTAAACATGGCATCATATAAAATAGAACTACAATACAAATATAATACATATCTAGAACTGATACAAATACAGTGAATAAGCACAAACATTGCAGGCTAGTGTTTCATTCCTACCCATTGAAGAATCCAGGTTGAGCTTTTAGGACTTCAGTTCCATAACGTACAGCTCGACGAAGAATACGCCTTAGGACATATTCACGCCCCTCATTGCCTGCACAGCTAGTGAGAATATCATTAGTTCCACTTGAAAGAGATTCAAAAAGAAAATTAACCATAACAATGAAAAACCAATCTTCGTAAGTAAATACACACCTCTCAAGAAAAAGAAAAAAAAATACTCACGCCGTGCCAAATGTTTTGTCAATCTTTGAAAGTCCCCCATGCACACTTACTTACCTAGGTCCTTGAATTTCAGTAATACTTCATTGTACTTCAATGTAGAAAAGGGTAATTTAGAAACGATATAAAATTGGTACCATTTTTCAAAGTGACCAAATATTAAAGGACATTCAAAAATCAAATAAGCATAATTTTTGAAACGAAGATAGTAGTGATTTTTAACCAAGCAACAAATAACAGATAGAATGTTCAAACTGCAATGAGTTTATCAAATTTTATGTTCAATCACAGCATGTATGTGCTGTCCATGAAAACAAGCTTCCACTGACCAAAAACCTAAAAGGACCATCAATAAAGTGAAAAAATATATTTTGAACATGTAATTATGGGAGCTCTAATATGAAATTTCCAGCATGCAAAAAGTAAATCTCTTTCTTTCCATGATGAACTACTATTGACATCCTTACCTCATATGTTCTCTTATTTTTCACCGACTATTTTAAGTTCTTGTTCGTACTTCTCTCAATTTCCAAAGAAGATATATCAAGACAAGTCAACAAAGAGGCCCAAAAGCTTAATGTACTTAATATAGATCGCACATATATACGCATGGTCCAATTACCTAGCATTAACAAGGTCAATCCCAACCCCTCAATTTAATGTAGGACATCCAAATTATGAACAAAATTTCTCGTATGGTGTGTGCATTACAAATGTCTATGGTTCAACTCAAAAAACAACAAAACTTGAAGATTAACAAACAATACATCAAGTTTTCAAAAACCACCAATCGCAAACCCAAAATGGAGAGAAGGGGGAAGGGATATACCATTAATACAAAGTTGTCAATTTAACAAAACACTAGACATAGAATTCCATACTTTACTAAAGAACAATGAAAGGAAATCACAATACAAAATAAAGCAGCAAAAAAAAACACAACAAGATGTCCAACTTTTGTCACTCCACCTGGGCAAGAACCATCAGCAATGGCAAATGAAAGAGTTCTGATGTGGTCGGCAACAACCCTGTATGCCATGTCAACTTTGTCTGTATCATCTGGTCCAACTTGGCCGGAATATGGTCGAGCTCCAGTTGCCTATAAGAAGATAGGTTTGAGGGGGGGAAAAGCCGTGGTACATCACAGTTCAATCTCAAAACAAGTAAATGCACATATAACTACCATTATTAAAATGAATAGATGTGGTCAGCACAGATGAACTTCATGTATACCATGATGATTCTCAACAGAACTATAAAAGACCTACTTGGGGTAGTTTAGCAATAATTCCCTTATTTAATTATCACTCCTTTCTACTCTGTCATTGAAACCAGTAATACCTTCGTATAAAACAAGACTACCAAGGAAAAGCCAACCATTGGATATAAAAACTACAACTTTTGGTGTCTTTGAGCCACCAAGTAGCAACTATATAAAAGGAGGTTAAAAAATAAAATCATATGGTCATCAATGCCCCACGAGGTCATCCTTGTCGGCAAGTGGGTCAACTCCCCACAAAGTTAGCAAGGTTTTGAGCCTCCGGACTTACTCGCTGATGGGTCTTCGGGATGCTCCGATTCACCCAAAGTCTCCTCATCGGGATGGGTCTAAGGGCCCTTCCTGGGGTGGGTTCTCCACATACATTCATGTATGTCGAGTGCCTGGGATTTAAAAGCATTCATTTTTTCTCCTTTGGGTCCTTTAGGTATTGAACCTGTAACACTATCTTTGGTAGAACTAAACCCCAAAAACTAACCCCCATACTTATAAACTACACATCCCTTTTGTACCCAAGCGCTGTGAGACTTTGCTTCACACCTAGCGTGTAAGGCTCGAGACACGCTTATACACTACACTCTGATACTATATGACACTATCTTAGGTAAAACTATATCCCAATACCTAGCTCGTGAAGTGAAGATGCCCTCACGCTTATACACTACACATCTCTTTTACATCTAGGTATTGTGGGACATTGCTTCAAAAACAATTGTCCCAAAAGCTTAAGTTGTTGAGAAATGGGCCCCAAAAAGAAAATGAAACTGACACTCTCCTTCACATGTAATCCTGTCACATGCGTGGAAAGACAAACAAACCAAGAAACAAGATGCACAAAAGCAGAATGTTAAGTCACCAATTGTCCCAAAAGCTTAGTCACTTAGGAAATTGACCCAGCAGTGTAAATCAAAGCCAACAAAACCCAATAAATTGATTTGTTGAATGAAATAAATTGATTTTGACATATGTTATAAAACAATTCTTACATAAGGACATGACAACACCGTTTAATTCGGAAGACATTGTTTTCATATCAAGAGATTTGGGTCTGAATCCCACCAAGCGTACAATTATTCAAAAACCATGATATACTCTTTCTTGACATTCAAAAAATGGACCTAGAAACCCTATATAGAGTATAATAAGAATAAAGATTACGTGAAATGCTTTATTTTAAAACTTAGAATCTTTAAAAGGGTATGCGGTTATTGTTAAAAAAATAGTTTGTTTGTTTTTTTAAAAAATTTGCGGAACCATTGCATCTTTGTTTTTGAAAAAAAAAAAGGAATGAGAAGAAAACATTGGGTTTGACAAAATCTTACTAAATCCTATTAAAAACCATCTAATCACCAAAATAAAACAAATCATGCATTGAGTATTGATTATTTTCATTCTAAACACTCTTAAAAGTTGTATTATGTCATTTTCACTATATATAAAAAAATAAATAAATAAAAAAGGAAAAGAAGGTTTAGAATCTATCAAACATGATAGTTTCAAGAACTGAATGAGTCGTAAAAAGTTGATCAACTCGTTAATTGATTGTGAATTGTACGATTCACCACAATTTCATCCAAAAATAGATTCACCCATACATTCATATTGATCAATGATGAATCACAAATCGTAAGATTTTGATAATAGAGTTCATAAGTCATAACGATTATTACATTTTAAGTGCGTCAAATGTGGCTATGGATCCTAAGAGTCAGCATTACAAGGGACAAAAAATGCAACCTCTTTTATATAATTGGACTTTGCACAGGATTAGAAAGATGGGTAACAACATAATGCTCACCTACTCAAAGTAAATAATATGTTAACAAACCCTAGAAACATTTAATGTATCCTCCGCTCCCACCATTTAGACACAATATATATATATACATATATAAAAAAATCAAAAGAAATTTTTAAAATAATCTCCAATAGTAAAGATGTAACATAAGCAACCCTTTGTTAGAGAAAGAATGTTAGGCCTATCTACTCCTTAAGAACAGAAAAAATAACACTTGTTCATCCCAAAGTCTAAATTATCTCAGTCAACATGTGTGGACAAATCAGGACTCCATCAGCTTTAACCTCTTTCCAGACTCATGTATGACCTACTGCATATATCTTTCTCTTATGTTTTACATTGCACCTGGCTCCATAGCTAGGGGAAGGAGGGGATTTGTGAACCAGGTAACCACTCCCATGGTCAAATAAATAGACATATCTACTTGAAACGATATAATTATGAAACAAGAAAGCAAAGGACCAAAAAATACATGTATCAGCAGCAATCACATCAAAATGTCATCTGCCTCAAAGATAGAGTGCAAATAATAGTTGTAAATCTCAAAAATCCATCTTGCTTTCCTCAGAGGGAAGCTATTTTCTCCCTCCAAATTGAATTACTATCACATTCTATCCCAAAACAAATATGTAACTAAATTTATTTACAGGAAGATAATATCACATGATCATCTTACTTGTTGGATGGCATTGAAAATGGGTAAGAACACATCTGTATCATAATTGCTCATCTTATTCTGGAGAATAGAAGTTAATCTTTCAAAACCCATTCCAGTATCAACATGTTTGGCAGGAAGAGGTTTCAGTACACCATCACCTTCCCTGTTAAACTGCAAAAGAGACATTAAAACAAAAGCGATGCAGTTTGCTAAAGTGATAGTAAAAGTGAACTATCCAGCAGTACCAAAGGGAAAAGAAGCAACTTACAAAACTAAGACAACAATATTTTGACTTTATTCCTAATAAAAATTCATCACAAAACACATGCACAAACCAGAAGGTTGATACTTCACCACATTCTAATCCTTTGAGATTGAAGTGCGAAGGACAACCTGTCATAAACAAAATGCATAGATGGAGTCCAAGATGAGTGATTGAACGAGACGTATAAGTTGTACCTGAATAAACACGAGGTTCCATATTTCAATGCACGTAGGATCATCCATGTTAACCAATGATGCAGCATCACGATTCCCAATTCTATCAAAATGTATTTCAGTACAGGGTCCACAAGGTCCAGTATCACCCATCTCCCAAAAGTTGTCCTACTCAGAGTTACACAGGTAAAGAAACAATGTAAAAAAGTTTTACCAGCTCAATAAATCACATTGTATACAGAGATATGCAAACACCATACTGGAACAATAAACTTCATATAGAAGTACTGTTCTGACTATCTGACAGTGTCAAGAAATCCACTGATATATCTAAGGGGTTGTTTGGGGTGTCCTAAATAAGTGCACTTTTTGTCTTTTTGAACTAAAAAGTTGAGAAAAAAAATATGAATGTTTGGGTTAACTTTTTGACTTTTTATGAAAAAATGTGTATTAAAAAATTGTATAAATAAGTGGTAGGCGTACGGAATGGCAGTACAATCGGCTGGGTGAATACATGGGAAAATATTACCTCCTTTTCGGGCTTTGATTGGAAGGTGTTGTTCGGCCCGTAGGGGCCCACCACGGGTCCCGTTTTTCTAATCGGAACCGTTCAATGTGTAGAACTCGTCGAGTACACGTTGATTGGATATCGATAGCTATCTGATCGTGTTAGCTTTTTTTGGTCAACGGTTAACTATAACACCATCCATTTTTTATACAAAATTGATTTGATCATATAGTTAACGATATCCGATAGATGTGATTGTTTACAGCCATATAGTACAAGACGAGTTCTACATATTGAACGGTTCGGATTATCAAAACGAGACCCATGGTGGGCCCCCACAGACCCAACTTTACCATCCAACTTATGAATGTAAACATGTAATTTTTTTTTTTCTTTCACTGCAATGGGTTTGACGTTAGTACGGTTGATGGGCAAAAAGTTGATTTGTATATGTATATTCGTATATTAATTTTTTATTTTTTTTTATTTTTTTGTGAATAGTGATAACTTTTTACCTTTTTTGGTAACTTTTTGACTTTTTCTAAACTTGCCAAACCAGCCCTAAGATATAGATACAAATCCTCACTAGAACCTAATGGCATATTTTAGTAACATTGCCGATGAATCATCAATATTCCCAATACTATAAATATATTAATATTATTGTTGACATGATATTTAGCAGCAGTATCATTTTCTGTCTTTGTAATTTGGGCTGAAATGCAGTATACAGAGTTCCTTTTATTCAACCAGAAACATTGCACATAAATACCATACTAATTATTTTGCAAAAATTTGTCATACTTATTACAGAATGTAATGGTGTTTCAACAATAAATTTTTTAATAAGCAACAGAAAAAAGTAAATAACAATGAGAAAGATGCATCAAAGGGGATGCAGCCCCTGCACAAAGCAATAACAGAACAAACACAAAAGAAGAGCCCCCCACACCCACCCAAAAGGAAACCCTATAGACTCATTACAATTCTACGGAGTTAACATCCAAAATTGGATCAAGGTTAGGCATCACTCCCCCTAACACACAAATAAATATAACTTTTTAAAATATACAGCAGTTGCTTTTTCATTTTGAAAGAACCTACAGTTCCTCTCGCCCTAGATGAACCACATACAGCAAAAAGGGATCAAAAGCCAATTTTTCCTCCTTTGTTTCCTACCCCACCATCCCAAAAACTATGAAGGCACCTATCCTTGGGGTGTAGCTCGGGCGGAACTAACCCGAGAAACACGAACCCAGCCCGAAATTTATTTAAGGCTTGGGCTACATTTTTTAATTCTGTGCGGACATGGAAATTTGCATTGGGCTTGGGCAGAGGCATCAGACAACCTGAAGCCCGAATTGTATATATAATATATAAATTATTAAGCGGGGTGACTTAAGTGGAGGAGTGCGTCTGGGGTACTGTGTGATAAACGAGTCCCCACTAGACCAAAAATGAAAGTTTTATAGAACAGCTATTAGACCAACGATGTTGTATGGGACGGAATGTTGGGCAAATAAGAAACAACATATAGATAAGATGAGTGGTGTGGAGATGAGGATGCTAAAATGGATGTATGGCAAGACAAAGATAGGGTTAGGAATGAGTATATTCGAGAATGGGTAGAAATAGTACCGATAGAAGATAAGTTAAGAGAAAATAGATTGAGATGGTTTAGTCATATACAACGGAGACCAATAGAGGCAACAGTGAAGAGATGCGATACAGTAACGGTAGATGGAAGTGTTAGGGGAATAGACAGTCTTAGATTGACGTGGGCTAGTGTAGTAAATAGAGATATGCATCTCCTTAACTTGACTAACAGAATGGCCTTGGATAGAGTCGAGTGGAAAAGAAGGATTTATGTAGTCGACCCCATTTGATGGGACTTAAAGCTTGGTTTGGTTTGGTTGGTTATTAGTCGTTCAATGATATTAAAATAATTTGGACCACTAGATCAATATTCACTATATATCATATACACGAGTAATATAACATAAAAACTCTACTATTTTTCTTTCTCACATAGAAATAGCAAAGACTACCGCCATGGCACATAAACTTAAAAAGGTTAACGCACAATAATAGACTTAATGTCCACATTTTTTCCTCCTAAAAACTTGTCTTTCCCACTATTTATTAAATATAGTGGTCTACACATACACGTGACTTTTATTGCATCAATACACTTGGGAGGTGAAAGGTAAAGACATGTATGCAGTTTTTATTTAATCCAATATCTTTTATTGAATGAGAAATACTAAAGAAGACAACAAAAGGAGACACCAAAAGGGACACAACCTTGTACATTGGCAGCAGAAAATGTTCCAAGCCCCCATAAGACTTGTCATCTCCTCAAGCCTATCCACTTCTCTTTCATTATCAAAAGGCCCAGCATGAATTGCCAATATGATAACCATACTAATATAGTAAATATAAATTATATAATACCTAACAAAATAAAATAACTCCCTTCTTTCTAAGATGCATTAAAAGAGAGTATCCCTTGCCATGTTTTTCCTTCTATGTGAAAAAATCATTAGTTCTCCTTAATAGGCCAAATATATATTTGGTATTCCAATAAACATTTCCTGATTTAAAAAGTGCTGTGTTCATGCCTTAAAGCAATGCAAACAGATAAAAAAACCAGACTTCTCTTCAAGCTTTTAACATAAAGCAATGGTGCAGAAAACAAATGCCTTGTGCTTGTGAAATAGAATCAACCATTTTTTAATTTAAATGTAATACACCAAAAGTTTAGTACACTTGTCATCAAGTAGAAAAAAGTGAACCAAGAAACTGATGCAGAAACATGTGACGGGATAGCCAAGAACCTAGAAACTGATGAGGAAACATACCTTACAACCAAAAGGCAGTACACGTCCAGGTGGCAGAAATTTGAGCCACATATCTCTAGCATCATTATCAGCAGCAAGCCCAGATTTTTCATCGCCACCAAAATAGGTTGCATAGATCCTATCAGAAGGTAGCTTGTATACCTTCAAACAATAAAGAATCAAATGAAGGATGAACTCATAAGAAAATGATCATTAGACAAATAATTTTAAATCAATATAGTTGCAAGTTGAGTCTAAAACACAACATTCTGCACAATTTAAGATGAGCTAAAATATAAGTATAGTAAATAGTATTTTAAAAAATGAGTTTCAAAAATCAGTCATAATTCCGCAAGTGAATTTGTTCTCTGGAAATGAATCATCAATTCAGCAGATTAAACATAATTTTCCATCAAGAATGCATTGTCAACCATATCCCATTCTCTTATGAAAAACAAAAAAGTCCCATGGCTCCAGAACCTAGATTGGAAGATGACACTAACAATTTGCACCCTAGTCCATAAATATATCCTCAAGAAATATGACATGAAGGCATTTTACAATTAAAGCATAGAATCAAAAGATCAAGTTTCCTAACATAATTAGCAATGGATTTGGACTCAAAAGCTCCATTTAGATGCAAATATTACACGAGGTATATCTCTTGGAGCTTCAATTCTTTTAGAAATCTTGATGATAAGGAGACTAATGAATTGGCATCTTTGCTGACTATCATTCAGGGTGTTTCTTTGAGGCGTGATGTTGTTGACAAAAGGGTGTGGTCCATTCATTCTTCTGGTTTATTCAGTTGTAAATCATTTTTTTATGAGCTCATTGATAGTCCCAATATCCCTCTTTTTGCTTTGCATGATATCGTTTGGAATATGCCTATGTGTCTCTTAAAGTAAGAGTGTTTTTATGGTCATTACCATGCTTCAAAAGAAGAAACCGAATTACCTTTTGCTCCCACAGTGATGTATTTTGCATAGGAGGGACAAAGAAAGTATTGATAATCTTTTTGTACAGTGTCCCGTGGCCTTAACATTGTGGCATAAAGTTTTTCATATGGTGGATATGGATTGGGTGGCACCTTTATCTTATGTACGAATGTTGATGATTGATAACAGGGATTTGGTACTAAAAAAAAAACCACGAGTAAACCACAAGTTTTGTGGAAATATATTAACTTTGCCATATTTTGAAAATTTTGGTTGGAAAGAAATGCTAGAGTTTTTTATGATAAATTTGACGGCCTTATGGGATACAATTTATTATATCTCTTCTTTTGGGGCATATATTTCAGCTCAAATCACTTAGCTATGTCTCCAAGCACGTGTATGACTAAATGCGCATTTCTTCATATATTGATTAACTATAACATAAGCCACGATTTTTTTCCAGGTTATAACATAAGTTGGAACCTGAAAAAAAATCCTTATACAGCGATAATGCACAGACGAGTTACAAAGTGCACCCCAAATAGCAAGTGATGCTTTTTGAGTTGACATGAATGATATATGTGGTAAGTTGGTTGGGGGTTCCTCTGGGAAGATGGTCTTCAGGACACCTCCCTTAGTGGCTATGAAATCAACAGAGGAAAAACACCTGCCCCTAAAGGCATAAACCTAGTCAAGTCATTCCTCAACAGGGTATGGAATAATTATGTAGTTTGGACACCGAATATGCCTTATACAGGGGTGGAATAATAAAGATAATAAATAAAGCAAAGCAATGGTTCAGGCCAGCTTAGGGTTCAGTTATATGTGAAGTCTACCACCTTAAGAAAAGAGTCAAGGCATCCTTAAGAGAGAGAGCGAGTGTGACAGTGGAGAGCTATGTGTGGTAGAGAGAGCAAGGTGATGATCAAGGTGGTAATCTACATATATGAGGCATCCTTATATAGGGTGGCAAACCAAGGGAAACCAACGCAGCTAAAGATAGGTGGCTCAACCCCCTTGACTAGACAAAATAAAGATAACTCCAGTCAAATATGTAACATCAGTGAGACCGCAGGAAACATATCATATGTGGACAATTGATAGGAATGATACATCATCCATCCCTTTTTGTTGTGTTTAAATAGCCCAAGATAAGTATAATACAATCATCGATGTATCATGTGTCTCCCTATAAGACTAATCTTATCACGCCTGAACCTAAGGGACCTTGGCGAGTGTTCAAACGAGTCCTTAACTCTAGCCTCCAATCGACAACTCCTCTTGGTGTTCCCAAATAAGGCACATAGTGCAAGTCGCATACTTCAATCCTAGAGGTCGAATAACACTTGGTGGAGATATCGGCGAGCCAAGTGAACCGACCAAGCTTGAGGCCTTAGGCAAGTGAGGTCGTTAGCGGCTCACAGCGCATGGACAGAGACTCTCAAACACTAATGTGTCAATTGAGCCACTTGTTGTCCTATAATGTGGACACGTGATGCACTAGTCTTGTAAGTGAAACCAACCTAAGGGATGAAACAGCTACAAGGTGGCTTGTTTACCTAGACTTGTTTTCAAGCAAATAACAATGTTGACACGAGATGATACCAACATGGGTGCGAAATACAGCACCTACACAACACTTAAAACGAGGATATAACTATGAGAAGCAAGTCAAGGAAGATGGAACACAAACTAAAGCGGATTGAGAAGAACAATGCAGGTTGAGGCGGATCAAAGAAGATGAAGCACCATCATTAAACCATTTGGTATCGTTGAAGGCGATACACAGAGAGAGAGAGAGAGAGAGAGAGAGAGAGAGAGGGAGGAGTTTTCATGGTCAAACACCTTATCTCTTCTAAGTGGCATTGTATAACTGGTTGACCAAATTTCCTTATCTTTCTTTTTCCTCTTGTTTTCTTTTTTTTTTTTTTGGTCTTGCAATTTTATCAATGATAATGGGCCAAACTTTATAAATGTTTCTGGGCCGCAATGACGAGATACTGAAACTATTAATTGGGCCAAAGTTGTTATTCATGTAAATATAACCCAACCAGCCCCATTCTCCATAAAACCAAACTAATCTAAACTGTTTTCGCCTGCCACAACTAAATTTCTGTAGCAAAATAACCTTTAAAAAAATAGCAACTGAAAAAGAAGAAAAAATTAGAAGATATATATAGCATAGAGAAAGAAAAGAAAAAAAATCATAATATGATGAGACCCGTCCAATTTTTTTGATACTTTTTTTTCCATATCCAAGCACCTGTATCAAATTCTTGGATACTTTTTAACCAAGTACACCTATCCTTCATTTAGAAGTTTGATGTGTCCAAGCCCCACGCCTGTCACCCGCACCTAACCGAGTCCATGTAACATATAACGTGACAATACCACGTGGCGAGACTGGACCAGTGAATCTACAATATATTATGGGTGTTGTCTATCGTTACCTTCAGACACGCATAGAATCTTCAAATACAAAAAGTTTCACCTTTTTAATTAGTTCTACAATGCTAACTAATTGCAAGTTATATCCTTTTCAAGTGTACCACTTAAGCAACAAAACAGTTGATTACAAAAATAATAATACAGCAAAATAACAAAACAATCAAAAAACTTACGATTGAAGAAAACATATGGATGAAACACATAGTAACAAATAACTAATGGGTATAAAAGTATAAACAAAAAATAGCAATGAGCAAAAAACTTGTTTGAGGGTGGTGTTGGGGGAATGTGCTCACTACCTTGGTGAGAAGCTCCCAAGCCCATTCAATTGCTTCTCTTTTAAAATAATCCCCAAATGACCAATTACCAAGCATCTCAAAGAATGTGTGATGGTAGGTGTCTTTCCCAACATCATCGAGATCATTGTGTTTCCCACCAGCTCTGATGCACTTTTGGGTGTTGCAGGCACGAGTGAGTTTACCCAAGGGATTGTTTGGGTCAACAGTCCCCAAGAAGATAGGCTTGAACTGATTCATACCTATCATACACCAGCATGTCAATAGTGTAATTGAATTTAAATAAGATAGTGACAACCTATGAAGCATGGACACTCCAAAATCAGTACCGTGGCGGTGTCCGACACGGGGACACGCCGGGAACACGTATGGGACATGGCAAGGACATGGCGGGGACACGCGTGTCCATATGGGGACACGGCATGGGACACGACGGGGACACGGCAGGGCTATTTTTATTTTTATTTTTATTTTTTTTGCCTCTCTTATTTAGTGCTTTTGTGAAAAATATTGTTGGATGTTGAATGTTTTCCCCTTCTCGTCTTAGTTCTTGCTATCGTTTATTATGACTTTTTTGTGAATGGATGATCTATTAATTTGTTTAAATGTAATGGTTATGTTTATTCAATTAATGTTACTATGTTAGTGTTTGTTAATTTTAATTTATGATGAATGTAATATGAATCTACATAACACATAAAAATAAATAAAATAAAATTCGCCGTGTCCCCCGCCGTGTCCGTGTCCCCATTTTTTAAAAATTGCCGTGTCCCATGTCCTTGTCCGTGTCCGTGCTTCATAGGTGACAACATAGCAAATACAAATAATACTAGTGTAACCCACTTGTTCTCAACTATAACTTCAAAATAACTTTCAAAAAATAAAAATTAAAAACAAGGAAACAAAATTCAACGTCCAACTAATTACCCAAAAACACAGGTTAAGGAAACAAAAGCAGAATATGAAGTCTAATTCCCTCTCTGGGTGTTATTTTAAGATGCAAAATTAAAATAGGCATACGCAGAGATACAAAGTGAGAGGGGAGGAGGAGTTTAAAGGTGAAAAAGCATGTTATTAATATTGGCTAGATATTGTATTTTAAATAACTAATTATAAAAATAATGCACTTTTGAAACCATTTGGAAAATTTCAAAACTTTTGGAAATCACAACTTCAAATCAAAGACTTTAATTAAAATCACATCTTCAAATTGCAATTCTGTGCAACTTTACCAACAACATATACCAAGCAAGGATGAAATCATATAAAAGTTCTACCTGCAACCTCTTGATTGAAGTCTTCCTAACCATTTATACGAATTGAACTTGCCATTTCAACTTTGCCACGTTGGCTGAAGTTATCGAAATGGAAAATGGCTATATCGATTTTAAATAAAATGGTCATTCGAGTTGAGATTCAAAAAATGCGTATATTTCAATACAATATTTAACTAAAATCCAATATTTAGCACAAAAACAGCAATAACTAACCAAACCCGGAATTAATTGGAAAAATCAATCCAAAATACCAAAATAAAAATAAAAATAAAAATAATGTAGCATGCACAATTGCACAAGGATATCAACTAGTACTCTGTGAGTGTGAATAGGAAAATGAAACAAACCAGCGTTGGCAAAGAGAAGGGTAGGGTCATTGTGAGGAACGACGGGGCTTGATTTCCAGTTAACATGGTCCTTTTCTTCAAAAAAACTGATGAAGGTATCCCGAACCTTGGTCGCCGGCCAGTCCACCTCCGACTGAGAACCCATGAAAGCCAAAGACCGATGATGGTAAACCCTAGAAGCGCCTGATAGGGATGTAGAGAAGCGTCTGAGAGGTAGATTCGGCGCCGCCGCACTTTGCTTAGAAGAAGAATAAGGAGAAGGAGTGGGAGGAGTATACGATGCTCTGAATATCGCCCCACGCCACCACAGTCTATTCTTTGAAACCCTCATCCATCGATTAAACTACCCAACAGTAACGTTGCTGTCAGCAATGCCAAACATAACGCGTTTCGGGTTCCCCGGATCGAATCGGGTCGGAATATCAAAAATAAATGTCATTTTAGTTGGATTTGTGAAATAATTTGAAAAAATAATTTCCTGAAATTGAATTTCTAAAATTTAAAATTTTGATTGGTTATGTTTTGAAAATAGTTTTCAAATTTTGGATGATTTAACTTTTTTTGTAATTAAATAAATGGGTGTAAAATAAATTGATTAATTAATGTGTGGGTATGAGAGATGAGAGATGAGAGATGAGAGAAAAAAAGTGACTAATTGATGTCTAGAAATTTTTTTTAAAAAAAATATGATTTTATATTTTTTTTTCCTCAAAATTTTCAATTAAATAAATTTTTAAAATTTTTTCTTAAAATTGTCACGCGGGAGACAATCAAAACAATGCCAAACCTTCTCAAATTATAACCCACTACAAAAAAAAAAAAAAAAAAACTATAACCCACTAAATTTCAAAATTCAGTAATTAACCATTTCAAGTTAACCCCTCCTACTATAATTCTATTATGGATTTACACGGAATGTGAAGCATATAACACAATTATTAATTTTTATGAATAATAATATCCGTTATTGATTTTTTTTAAGACAATATTACCCTTATTCAATGATTACATTTGCATTGCCTTCTTTATTTTTGAGGTAAAATGCAAACAAGATCACTAAAAAAATATATTGGCTATGTTTGGTTCCATTTTTCTAAAAACAGTTTTCAGAAAATTATACTTTATTATTTTTCGTGTTTTTTTGTTTTTACTAAATTTTTTTAATATTTTATGCAAATTTTTTACTTTTTAGACACACCTAACATAAATACACCATGAAAGGGTAAGAATTGTAAAAAAAATCTTTTAAAATTCACTAAATACCAAAAATACAAAAAAAAATACAAGAATTCAATACAATTTTTGTATTTTTATGTATTTTTAAATTTTTTAAAATATTTTTTCATATTTTTTTTACTTTTTAGATACATCTAAGTAAGGTGCATCTAAAAAAATTAAAAAAATTGTTTAAAATTTTAAAAATATTTACTAAAAACACAAAAACCAAAAAATTCAATTTTCAAAAAATTTAATCCAGAAAACTCAAACCAAATACACTGATTATTACCTTAAAAAATGTGTCGTGCATTCTACATATGATCTGATTTTGTGTGAATTTATAATAAAAAGGTTAATTATAACAAAATAATACTTTCAGGTGGTTAATTGTTAAGTTTGAAGTTCTTAGGGGCAAAACTAAAGTGGGTCATAATTTAAGGGGTTTACTATAATTTTCCCAAATCTTTTTAAATGGATAAATTACACTTTATGACCATTTATGTTTGGCCATTTTATCACTTTGGATTTTTAAATTTTTTTCCCTCACTTTTGCATGTTTGAAGTTTTTTTTTTATTTTATAATTTTACTTATGAAACTCATTTCTGTTCAAAACTAAATAAAAAAATCATGTTCACTGACATTTAATATAAAAATATATATTATTACATTAGGATTTGGATTAGTGTCAGATGTGTGATTTATATATAATAAAATATTTTTATATCATATAGTTGTCTACATGTCATTTTCTATTTAATTTTTTACATATGTTAGTTTTTTGAGTAACTTAAAAATACTTGAAACATGAATAACCAAAGTAAAAAAATAAATAAATTTTAAGGGCAAAGTAAAAAAAATTATAAAATATAAAGGGGCAATAATTTACCTTCTATATATGTACATAGTTATACAATTACTATTTAATTTAATAACAAAGAATATTATATGATAAATTTTAACATCATCAATGATCGTCAAAGATAACAATATAATAATTGGAAAATGCCTGGTAGCTCGAAGCTACCAAGCTCGAAAATGGCTAGAGAGGAAGAGAGGGAGAGGAGAAAGAGAAGGAAGGGAGAGGAAGAAGGTCGGCGTCGCAGCTCCCCGCCCCGCCGTCGTCGCAGCTCCCGCCGCCGCCTCTGCTTCCTCCTTCGTCGCAGCCCCGCCGATGTCGCAGCACCACCGTCGTCTGCCCAGCCTCCCCTCCTCCTCAAACCGGTTTTTATGGCCCCCTCCCCTCCCTCCTCCTCCTCCTCCTCCTCCTCCTCCCTTATCTTCTTCTTCCTTCTTCTTCTTCTTCTTTTTCGTTCTGCAAAACCATGGAAGAAAGAAAGAAAAAAAAACAAAATCGACACCAAAACGACGTCGTTTTGGTGTCGAGCCGCGACATTCGAGCTACGTAGCATGATCGATAATAATTTAAGATTACAATGATGTAATTATATAATAAATAATTTACGGAAAAGATAGAATAAGCTGATTGACGTTAGTTTGGGTTAAACTATGTGCGTGTTTGGAAAGTGGTTATTTTAGAGATTTTTCGGCTTTTTTAGTAAGTTATTTTAGTTTTTGTATTTGCGAAGATAAGATAAATTTTTATTTGAGTTGATGTATTGAAAAATGTGTTGAAATGATATTTAAAGTTAAAATGACAAATTTATCTCTAACCTTACATTTTTCAAAATTAATCTAAAGGTGAAAAATTGTAATTTACCAACCTATCGCTGTGACAATGGTAGGTTATGCCTACACTGTCACAGTGACATCCCACTGCCGGCCTATATATATATATTTTAAAACCATTGGTTTAGAGGCTTTTAGGGTTTTTTTTTTTTTTAGGCTATTTTAGCCCTAAAGTTAGGTTCCCAAACACCCCCTATATAAGTGCATTTTTTAGCTGAAGTGCACTTATTTAGATCACATTAATCAATATCTCCTCTTTACTTTTCTATACATTTTTTTTTATAAAAAGTCAAAAAATATATTTATTTAGAACATCTCAAACTATTATTTTTTAGAATATCTTTTATTAGTTTTTAATAGACCTAATGGGTTTAGGATGAAAAAAATAAAAGCTTAGAAGTAAAAATAAAATAAAATTATATAATATTGTTCTAAATTTTTATTGTTTTTGAAATAACCTCATTCGGAATGGGCTAACATATCAATAATAATAATAATAAATAGGGTAACCGGTCAATAAATTCAAAATTGAATTTTGTTTGTCCAAAATTCACAATCTAAAATACTTTGTCCACGAGGACATGCAAAAACAAAAGGACCAAAATATTTATATGTATACATAGGGTATACACACACATCTTCCCCCAAACCCCTCTCTCTTTCTCTCTCTTCTATCTAAACCTCTTCGATGGGGTACGTCACCACTGCCAACACAGATGACAAGCAACTCTTCAAAGACTCTCTCTCTCTCTCTCTCTCTCTCACTCTCACCGTTTTTCTCACTAGCATCGAATTCACTCCATTACAGCCTATCACAATTGATCTCCCCCACCACCCTCACATCCACTACACTACCGTCTTCACCAATTTCATATTATTCTCGGAAACACAACGCTAATGATGTTCCAGATCTTGAGATGAAGGAGGTTTTCGACGACGTTGGCAACCAAGCTGTCGTCGATCTTGAATAGGAACAATTTGAGAATGATCTGTCTCTCTTTCTTACATTTTCTCTCTCTAAATGTATATATTGATGATGCATGTATTGGTGGTTGAATTTTGTTTCTCTATAAAAACCCTAAGGCCATGTTTGTTTGGGCGGACTGCATTAGCATTCCCATGATTAATAGTCCTAGGACTACGAATCCGTTGGATTATGTATCCTATCTTAACTAATAGTCAAGTTTAAAATAATTAGTCTGTACTTTAATTGTTTAACCAAACATCGGATTAATAATTTTATTAGACTATTAGTCCAATCCCAAGCTCATGTCCACCCAAACAAACATGGCCTAACATTTTACAATCGGTTGCAATAAATTGATGATATATATTGATGCATGAATTTTGTTGTTATTGTTGATTACAATAGATACAAAAAAAAAAAAAAAAAAAAAAAAAAAAGGGTTTTTTACATTGGGTTAGATATTTTCTTTAAACTACTACTATAAATAGGGCCTCAAAACACCTTTCTCTTTACTTTTTTTTCTTCTTCTTTGACAAATAGCACCTCTCTCGCTCTCTCTCATTTTTTTATGTATATCTACGTGGCGAGTGATTTCAACATATAACAAAAACAAAGTTTATCCTCTCTCCAAAAGGTTCATATATGTTCAAAAATTAAACAGATATGTTGAGACAAAAAAATGAATATATATGAAAATAATTTGAACATATAGATATTAATTTAAATGGATAGGTATAAATTTGAATAGATAGTCAAAAAAATTATACAATTAAAAAAAAGGTCAATAGATAATTATGGGGTAAATTTGGAAATAAAATGTCTTTCAAAATAATAAAATGTAGCTCTCACCATAATATTTCACAAATGTTGGACTTTTCACTGGGAAAAAAGATTAATGGGAGCTAATACCTTATACCCTCTTTAGATTGAATTTTTCAACAATTTTTTCTAAAAATACATCATTATTCACCAAATTGATGAATTATCCATTCACTGATAAAAATATAATTTGTTGTCTTTAGTCAAATTTAAAAGATGTTTTATGTACACAAGTATTTAAAGATAGGGGTTGTTTGGGGTGTTCTAAATAAGTGCACTTTTTGTCTTTTTAGACTAAAAAATTAAGAGAAAATATGGATGTTTAGGTTAATTTTTTGACTTTTTATAAAAAAATGTGTAATAAAAAATTGTAAAAATTGATTTGTAGAGAAAAATTAAGATTGAAAATTATGCAGCCGTAATTGTTGATTTTTAATAAATAGTGTTAAGTTTTTAATTTTTTGACTTTTTAACTTTTTTATAATACGTCAAACTTGACCTAAGTAAACATATTTTAAAAAATTGTTAGCAGTAGGGGCCAATGGTAAGGATGGTTGAAGTTGTCGAGGGAGCTAGTGGCCAGGTGTTGTAAACACCCAATTTTAATAGGCTACAATAATTACACTAACAATGAAATCACAATCTTATGACCATAGTACC